CCCAAAGAAAAAGTTTTTTCTTGGGCTAGCTTCACCAAATCATGTAACACTCTTCTGGAATTTCTCCCCCTCACCTCCTACCCTCCAATCTGATGTTCTTCAATAAATTATCTCAAAGGATAAAATAATTTAAATATTAGCTTAAATCATCCATAATTAGAAAGGTAAACTTGCTGCTGAGAAATTACAGAATGCATTCCATTAGGACAACCTATTATTTTGGATTATTTATAACAATCTCTTGATGTGAAAACCAAATTACTATTTCAAACGGTGAGAAGATCCCAATATCAGCCTTTTTCTCTTCTGAAGAATTGGGGGAGGAATTAGGAAATATCAAAAGAAGCTGTGAGGAGAGGAAGGGAAACGACATCTGTTGAGCGCCATGATGTACGAGATGTGTGAGGAGCCATTCGCCTGAATGCTCCTGCTGAATCCTCCCAACAACCCAGGATGTAGACACAATGCCCTCACTTGACATGGAAGGACACCGAAGCGAAGTCAAATTCGGTACATGTGTGTGGTGATGGGTTGTAATTAGTATTTTGGTGGTGAACATGATGTAGTCCATGCAGAAATAGAAGTACAATGATGTACACCTGAAATTTTTGCAATGTTATAAACCAATGTTACTGCAATAAAAAAAAAAAATATGATGATAAAAGCAATTGCAGAAGTTTACATGTCTGGTAATTGACAGAATAAGGCATTGAACCCACATCTATCGGGCATCGGAAGTGGAAAGTTCTTCCCACCTCAAGAACTAGAAAACTGAAGAGTATCTTTCGAAATACAAAATTTTTGTTTAAAAAAAGGAGATGCTTTCTTATGAACCCAAAAATGTCCTCTTCATCGCCTCATCAAAGTGCTCCACAGGAAGATGTTTCTTAGACCTCTAGCTTTCAGCTCCCTATCTAATTATGCTTAGATTCAATTTTATCTATAATTTATGAATAAAATTGAAAAACAGAAGATTTACCATTATATCTTATAGAGTTGCATATACTGGCAGAATGTTCAATTAGATTTAATCTACATTAATTAAGCTTTCTATTTTAACAAAGCCCCATATTACCACACTTGAATCAGGAAAAATAAACATTAAATCTGCAATGCCCATTAAGATAGTTCAGCAAGAGAGATTCATCTTTGTTGCTCTTCCAATGTAGTGTATTGTAAAAAAATAGTAATCCATCGAATTAGAAATATAGATTAGAATTAATAATGGAGTGCCCATTCCATTATATAAAAGAGTCTATTTCAATTGCTATCTCTAGGTACATTTCAGTCGTCTTTATATTTAAGTTTTTCATTTCATTTTATCTACTCACTTAAGACATTCATGGGAACTCAATTGGCTCAGCCACCTAGGGATTTTCCAGATATTGCTGTGCCAAGAAGTTCACTCCTGGTTTAAGGAATCACAGCCTCCCAAATGATCACCTCTGGCTGCTGTATCCCCACCGGGTGAGAGTGATGCCTGCCTGTGGCTAGAAGGAAACTCAGCCACTGAATGAACTCTTCTGCCATTAATTCAATAACAGCCTTGCCTAAGAGTAGCTGGAAGCCTTGCAGAAATTAGAAACAGTGGTTTCCAAAACAGTAAATGCAGTTTTTCTGGCTGACAGCTTTGGAAAAGGCAGTTGGATGATTACTTCCCGTGGTGCACACGATGGCTAGGGAGAGTGTTCAGATCCAGAATGCTATTCCCCCATCGTGCTTCATCAGCAAAGGTGACTTCGGACTGGAAATTGAACACTACCAGAAGGTTCAGGTTATATACAGTGTTTTCCCTCAGACGTTGAACTTGAGAAAAGTGACTATTTGCTTCTCTGGTCACTCAGCATCCCATTTTCCCTTAGCATCAAATTTCCACCTAAACATCATCATCATCATCATCATCATGGCATTTTTTTAATTCAATTTATTTAAACTACAATGGCTTTTTTTTATTGGGTTCCTATTATATGCCAAGAACTATGCTAGGTGTTTTACAGATACCTCTAATCCTCACAAATCCCAAGGTATTATTCATCTCAGTCTCCAGCTACCAACACCTTTGCCCTTTTCACTCTCCTGTGCAGCCTCCATAGGTAGTACAGCCAGGGCAGTATCTATGCCTGGGACAATATATTCCATGTGAACCTTTGAAATGAGCCATGAAATTTCTGAGCAGCCCTAACAACAGATGGAGAAAAATAATCATCTATTTATATCTGTTCAATAAATATTGCATGTATACTATATGCCCAAGAGTACTACTTGGGGAAAAAAAAAAAAAAACCCTACGTGATGCAATCTCTTCCCTATGCTACTTTCGTATATTTGGGCACAGACTAAATTGGAAACATTCCAAACAATCAAGACAGAGACTGCCTAGTTATTCCAACACCCATATTCTCTCATTCTTGGCACACAGCTGGACAGAATTTCCCAGTACTGGTCAATGAAATGTGGTACAGGTAATACATGACATTTCCAGGCCTGGCCCTTAAACCTATTTAAGGAGAACAGGACAGAAGTCTAATCATAGTAGAATCTACCCATCTCAGAATACCATAGTTCAATTAGAAAATAAACAAAAACACATAGAAGTTGAATAACACAATAGAAAAGTGTTACATGTAAAGTTGTATCTGTATATATCTACACACATGCAAAAACTACCCATCTTTTTAAAATGTGCCATCCAAAAAGAAAAATATTGAACATGTACAAAGTCACCAGGAAAAATTTCAGCAATTTCAAAAATCTATAAATCTTACAGTGTATATTTTATGTCTTCAATTAACAACAAAACCAGAAGGCACCCATCAAGTATTTTTTAATTTAATCACTTTGAGATTTTTAAACACTCTTCTAATTTGGGTCAAAGAAGAAGTCAAACTGAAATAAAGAACTACGGGGCTGGCCCCGTGGCTTAGCAGTTAAGTGCATGCGCTCTGCTGCTGGCGGCCCGGGTTCGGATCCCGGGCGCACACTGACGCACCGCTTCTCCAGCCATGCTGAGGCCGCGTCCCACATACAGCGACTAGAAGGATGTGCAGCTATGACATACAACTATCTACTGGGGCTTTGGGGGAAAATAAATAAATAAATAAATAAGAAATAATCTCTTAAAAAAAAATAAAGAACTACAAAGTACAGAAAATGAAAACACTAAATAGCAATATCAACGGGCTGTATTCAAAGCAATAATCACAAGAAAATATAAAGCCCTTAGTGATTTTAATAGTAAACAGAAAATACTAAAAATGAATGAACTAAACATCCAAAAAGCTAGTAAAAATACCAAAGTAATCAAAAAGGAAGAAAGAAGCAGAAATCAATGAATTTAAAATGAAAAATAGTAGACTTGATCGATAAAAGTAAGAACTGTTTCATTAAAAAGGCCAATAAATTACACAATCCCAGGATGAGCCTGGCCAAGAAAAGAAAAAGGAAATACATATATTTCACATTATAAATTAAAGAAGATGTAACCACAAATATAAAATTTTATTGAGAGAATATAATGTTCAACTATTTTCCCAAAAAAAGATCTCAATGAAATATGATTTCGACAAAACATAATTTGACCCAAAGAAGAGTTTAAAATTAATAGAACTACACCATAAAACAGATGGAAAATGAACATTTTCGGTAATAAGGGGCTTCCCAGCCTCCCCAAAAACAAATTATCAGCCCATATTCTTTTCAGGCTAATTCTATCAGAAACATTTATAAAGGAGGTATTGCCTATATATTTAAACCAGTCTAGAGCACAAAAAAAAAATTCAAAAAGACTTGAATTAACCATGAACACAGAAAAACCTACTGTATCTCACTTATTAATGAGTGAAAACATCGAAGTGTTTAATGAATTTAGTGTAAAGTGTTTAGAACAATGCCCAGCATTTATCAGTGCTTAAGATAGTTACTACTATTTTTATTATTATTGTTGTTAATATTGATGCAAAAACCCTAAATAAAACATTAGTAAATGTAAGTTTAAGTATTTAAAAATAGTTCAACATTATGGACTCTATTAATGTAATTAATTATGTTAATAGATGAAAGGGGAAAAAAACAGTTATCTCAAAAGGTACTCTGGAGAGGTATTTAATAAAACTTAACATCTATTCACGATTTTTTGGTCTTTCAAGAAATCAGGATGAAACTAAATTTCCTTTACATGATGATCACATACATATATTTTTGTATATAGTACTAACTGTTTTTCCTTATACAACCATCATCCCTTCTGAAGCCTTTCTTGGCTTATCACAACCCTTAGTGGAATTGACCATTATCACCTTTACTCCCTAAACACAAATTTCTAGCATTGCGTCTACAATACTTCATGATATCTGTCCATCTTCCCTACTAGCTGATGTGATCCTTAGAATAAAAATTCTGTATTATTCACCTTAATATTCCCAGCGTCAAGCACAGTGCCTGCATAAAATAAACACAAAATAAACGTTTGTTGAAGGTTGTTGTTAAATATAACTAGTTACCTTGCTTTATGACCTAAATGTGATGGATAAAATGTAGTTTTACAGTCTTGCTTCACATAATGACAAGGACGTGTTCTGAGAAATGTGTCCTTGAGCAACTTCATTGTTGTGTGAACATCACAGAGTGTACTTACACAAACCTGGATGGTATAGCCTACTACACACCTAGGCTACATGGTACTAATCTTATGGGACCACCATTGTATGTGGTCCATTGTTGACCAAAATGTCGTTACGTGGCTCATGACTACATACGAGCCAAGTCTACCAGAAGATACCAGATAGGTGAGAAAGACACGAGTGGTCCTTGGAGAGCAAACAAGAAAGCCACTTTGCCCAAAGTAAATTCCTAACACAAAGTAAATTCACTAATGTGTTCAACAGGATCCAGGCCTCAGCTAGCTGAATGTTTTCTTGGAGCTACTGCCTCTAAATTCCAAGGAATTTTGTGTAGCCCATTCATTCTGAGTAGATTTTCAGAAGTAGAAAGAGCTTTCTTACCTGTGTTCCAGTTCTCGAATGGACAGTATCACTCCTGAAGTCGATGGCTTCTGCTGTACAGCCGCCAAAAAGGTGAATTCACTCTTATTCCGGAACAGCTGGATTAATTTCTCACTCACATGCGGGGCTGCATGGATCTCTCTCTCTACATCTAGGAGTCAGGAAGGAAGAGCAGAAGAAACAGGAGGAGAGAGTGGAGAAGAGCAAGGACAAAGAAGGAAAGAGAAGAAATACAGAAGGAAAAAGGAGAGAGAACATGAGAAGAGGAGAAAAGATGCAGAGTTATAAATGTGAGGTCCAAAGGATCCAGGTTGCATTTTTCATCTTCCCCCTCTTGTCAACAGTTTTCAGTTTCAGGGGCCACCCACCACTCCACACAGCTGCATCCACTCAACGCAAAACCCAGAACTGTCACCTGTCACTGCGTCCACTTGTCACTTTGACAAGTTCACAACTGGCCAGCCAGTGCTTTGTCTGACAGGAATTTTGACGGGACACTGAGCAATCTGGCCTGTTGCAAACAGATTACTTTCCTCTAAATAAGGTGAGCGAGCAGTCAGATGAACGGGGTCCTAAATTTAGAGAACCCTGAGTCTAGAAGGATCCCAATGCCACTCTGCAGGCTCCATTTTCACTTTTCCCATGGACTGAGTTTCTTCCTCCCTACAATGCATCCAGGGAAACTTGTCCTCGCCAGCAGAGATTTACTAGCGCTAATAACACCAGACAACTCTGCTTTTGCTTAAAGAAAAAATACAAGGCATGCTCGTGATCCACAAGTGTGTCTGGAATTTCTCTGTAGACGTGCAGTGGATGACTTTCCTCATGAAATATTTATTACAGTTGAAGCCAATTCAGCAGGCCTAGAGGTGTGAGAGTCCAGCTAGTCCTGCTCCTGGACAAGAATCTTTGTTTCTGCAACACCCGTATAATGAGAGACATCCATCATCTCATACTCAGACTTCCACTCGTCATGAGAAACCGGACGTTATCTCATTATTTTACGCTACACTTCCTGGAATCAGAAAGTGGGCATCAAGGGAGCAGACTTCGAGAAAACTATTCAGAAAATGACAAACAAACACCAAAGGCATGTTTGATGGCCTTCTCTCATACCCCAACCACATCCTCTGACTGTATGATAACGACTTGGGTTTTTCTCCAGGACTGCATGAGGAGTCTTTGGAAAAATATAAAACTTCAAAGGCTGCATTGCCCAAGCAACATCACAGACTTGAATATGGGCCTTGAAGAACCTCATCCTAAAGAATGGCTTCTAACAAAAAGAAATCCTGAATTCCTAACCTGGGCCTCAGCCTTCTCGTCTGCAAAATGAGGAGGTGGCCTAGGTGATTTCTCAGGGCCTCCCCAGCTCAGCCTTCTATAATTTGCTGTTTCGAGGTTACCGCACAGAAAAGAACACTACAGTCTTCCAGCCGCAAAAGTCTAGGCTATGAATGGTAGGACACAAGGCCGGTCCTCTACCATGGAGGCCCAACCCAGGCAGAGCACTCTACCTGGACCGCGACCAGGATAAAACCTACCCGGACGACATTTGCTTTTCTGCCCAAAGAAAGGCCTTCACCATTTTACTGCTAAGTGGTATGCTGTCAGCTTTTGTCAGGGGCTGAGATAAGAGATAGCCACTTAGGGAATGCTTCTACACCTTCTACTAAATCCCAGCCAAAGACTTTCCAGGATGATATTCAAAACCTATTAAATGTACGAACAAACCACTTTGTAAACTACAGATCACTAGCAAACGTTTAAAATTATTTTTATTATCATTACTGCTAGGCAAAGAGCCTCATAATAAATTCTGCCTAGAATTTAGTGCCAGAAAAAACATTTGGCTCTCAAGATTAAGTTATATGTTTACTTTTTACCTTTTTGCTATTTCCTTCTTTATTCATCAACCAGGAATCCACTGATGGGTAATGGCTGCCGAGAAGGCTCAGAGGATTCTGAAGCTCGTGCCCAGTGAAAAGAGGGCCATGACTGATCAGCAGAGCCCGTTGGGGGAAAGAGTATGAATATCATATCGGTTATGGGTGTCCTCACCTCTCACTCAATATGCTCCTTGGGTGATATCAGCTAGTCCCATGGCCAATGACCCCCAAATTTAGTCTGCAAGCCCAACCTCTCCCTCAAGCAGACTCATACGCAATATCCTTCTTAACATCTCCATATGACTGTATTAAGCATTTCAAATTGTATACGTCCACAGCAGAGCTCTCCTTCTCTCCCCAGCCCTCTATTTCCCCCTAGGGTTCCCAGACTCAGTAAATGGAACCACTCAGTTCCTCAAGCCAAAAAACTGGAAATTGTCCTCGATTCTTCCCTTTCTTCCACCCTCCATATCCAATCCAAGGGCCAATCATGAGGGCTCCCATGTCCGGAATCTGTCCACTTCTTCCCAACTCCACTCTTAAAACTCCTGTCCAGGCTGCCATCATCTCTCCCTAGGACCCTCCAATAGCTTCCTAACTGGTTTCCCTGCTTCCATCTTGCCTTCTCTTTTGCATTCTCCACACAGCAGCCAAAGTGCTTTTGCTAAAGCCTAAGTCAGAATCATTTCATTCTCTTGCTTAAAACCCTCCAGTGGCTTTCCAGTGCTCCCAGGATAAAAGCCAGGCTCTTTGGCATGGCCTGCAAGATCACCACACAGACTGACACTTGCCCACCTCTCCCACCCAACTTCATACTCTTCTTGGTTTCTACAGGAGCGTCCCAAGCTCACTCCTGCCTCAGGGCCTTTGCACTCTTCCCTCTGCCGCCTCTTCACATGCCTGGTCCTGGGTCGTCCTTCTCCTTCAGCTCTCATTGCAAATGTAACTTCCTGGTCACGCCCTCCAAAGCAGGCTCTCCATTAACGTCTAACACACCACTCTGTCTCCATACAACTTAATATATTATTATAATCAGTTTATTATTTCCTTATATCACTTATCATAATCCTGTTCAACGTTTCTTACCTTCTTTCCTTTCTTTCCCCACCTGACTATAAGCCGCATGAGGGCAGGCATACTTATTCATTCATTGTTGTACTCACAGTTCTCAGTGCATGGCATAAAGCAGGCAGCCAATAAAGAGGTATTGAATTAGTTAACTCGTTTCCCATTTATTTTTGTCATTTATCTTGTTACTTTAAGTAACCACAAATATTACGGTCAGAAAACAGTACAATACCTTTTGGAAAAGTAGGAGATAAATGAGTATTTCAAGTGTCAATGGCTATCAAATTAAAGAAAATGATGTCTAGTGCCAACTGAGCCCCTCCTATTTATAGGACACCCCACCTAACAGTCTAATCCAATCCGACCATGCTTCTGCTCACCCAACCCTCCTAGAAAACTGAACATTGCTTTTGCCAGCTTTTCTTATTTCTCTTTGTAAGTGATTGGCACATTGAAGTAAAGAACTCACCAGCGTGAAACGCAAAAAAACATCTATTTTGATACATTGAGACTTTATGTGCGTTCTCATTTTCAGAAAAGCTCTTTCAAGTAAATGTTTACCATTATTCAGCTGCTAAAAGAACATGGGAAAGTAATCCCACGTCTTACAATATAGAGGCAAGAACACTGGACTAGGTGTTAAGGGACTGAAGACAACTCTGAGTTTTGCAGCTAGGTAGCTGTGTGACCTTGGATAAGACACTTTACCTCTCTGAGCGTCACACACCACATCTGAAAATTGAGAGGATTGAAGCCCATGATCTCCAAGTTCTTTCCTAGCATCAACATATTGTTTCTGTTAATCACTTTACCCTGCCCCTAGCCACAGAGCAAAAGAAAGTACTGAGGTATTTTCCATCTATAAAACACCCAGATTCTACGATTTTTCTCCTCTGCTGATTTTCCAAATCAACATAACATAAAGTTGTCAATTACTGAAAATAGCGATATGTCGCCTACTTTGCAGGAGCCTGCTTTTTTCCTGGAGTTAAAAGAGTAACCAATGGAAACCAATTCATGAGAACCTGTATTTACTGAACTTCCATATTCAACCACCATAATGTGTGTTTGCTGTATTATTTGAGAATATTCAATTCTGCTAGAGAGAACAAGAAAAACAAGTGGAATGGATAAAGCTCACAGGAAGTGTTAAATATAGAGAGCAAGTTAGAAACCTGTGACACATAGATGGAATAAATGGAACGTAAGTGTGTTGCACACAGACAAAAAGGAGTGAACAAGACTGTTAGTTATAAATAGAATGGGGTGGGAGTACCAAATCCTGCCCCCTTCAGAATGACAGCTATGTCATCCCTAAATCCAACACCCATTCCCCTCCATTTGGGCCCACAGGAACCCCGAGAAGTGCTAATAAAACTCTTCACTGCTCCCCAAAGTAACTGGTGACCTACAGCTGTGGCCAGGGGTCCTTGCCCCCGAGTTTCTCCAATAGATGAAGCACACTGGCTCCAGGTACCCCCATCTGCTGAACCCCATTTTTATAACTTCAGCTCCAGACCACGTAACCACAGCATCAGTGAGAAAGCTGATGGGGCAGAAAGAGAAAGACTGAATAATCCAATGAGGTCACCCATCCTCCCCCAGCCCCACTTACACCCTATCCTAAGTGAGTTAGCCTACCTCATCTCTTTTCCTTGCTTCCTCCCGGATATTTGAGATTGATTTAATAAGCCACGTGATTCAAGCATCTGAATTTGGTCTGTTTGGGAGGCTTTTGTTTTGTGACCTCTGGGAGTGTTCTGGCAGGCTACCATTGCATCAAGGTCATTTCCCACACAAGAACCACTTATGGTGAACATTTTACATTTAAAAAAAGACCAAAAAGGGATGTTGTTCCAGATACTCTGAGGTTTTGCATGATCTGGTTGAGAAGTGCTAACTCAGCAGCAAGGGTTAAGTGCTTTTTCTTTCCTGGGATGAAGCGGCTCTACCCAGTCAGTTTCAGAGAAAGACTAAAAATGCTAATGTGATGATTAAGCATCATAAAAAAGTGTTAGGTGGAGGGAGGAGATTGGAGATGTCAAGAAATTAAGTGATGATATTCACACTCTTCTCTGCCTAATATAGAAGCCACTTCATTTCCATTTTCTCTGACTTACAGGGTGAGGAGGCTGGTGACTCACATTGCCAACAAACGTACACCTGTGTTTCCTCTGTGCCAGGCACTGTGCTG